GTAGTTGTAGTGGACAGTTAGCTTTATCTTTTGAAGACTATGCTGGTGTAGGTCCTCGGTTATCCAGGACATGGTGGTCCTGCAAAGAAAACAGGACATTTTGGATCCTGAAGATGTTCCCCCTGATCCATTAGACTTAGACTTTTCATCATCAACAGAACTCCACAGATCTTTAAGAGGATCCCTTTTGACTTGAGCAGTGGAGAAAGTCAGGAAATGTCTGTAGAGGGATGATAGAACTAATGAAAGTATTTCTGATTCTGATTCTGATTCTGAAACATGACTAATGACTGATAACGCTCCTGAACCTCATCACCACCCACTAACTACAGGAACCAGAGGCCTGGCTATGTCTCAGAGTCCCCATTGGAGCTAACCCTGAAGAAATCCCCTAACGTTTGGTCTTAAGATCCCATTGGGCCTGTTAGCCAAACGCCTGTTTGTAATTCTGCTGCATTCTGTCCACACACACTCCTCACATGCGTCATCTTTTTCTCAGAAAAGCGATTTCCAGTTGCAGCCCTGCTGGTGTTCTGTGATCTGCTGTCAAAGCCAGTGAGGAACAGGCCGAACATTCGTTTCTGAGTCTGACTCGTTGATAAGCAGCATCCTGAGACAAACGGAGTCCTGACCGACGTCCCCCCTCTAAAGCTACTCCTGTAGAGCAGTGTTTTTCAACCACTGAGCCTCGGTACACTAGTGTGCCGTAGAAAATCATCCTATTTCACCTCATTGGTCTAAAAAGACTTTTTGATAAGGAATTCATTTTCTGCAAATAATATTCCATTTCTGAGTGTGTGTGCTGTTCTAGTGACTGGTGGAGTAATCATGTAATAATTCCTTATGACTAGATTTTGTATATAATTTTGTATATTGAAGTGGACATGTTAAGTGCAATTTGAAAGAAGAAATATAAAATATGATAAAAATACATTTTTGTGTTGATTTGATTCCTATTCAAGACACTTAAGATAAGATAAGAATAAGATAAGAATAACTATAGTGTTACTATAGATAATAATAAAATAATAATAACTATAGTGTTACTATAGGCGGATACAGATTTGTTTGACATTTTTGGTTGGTGGTGTGCCTCGAGATTTTTTCTATGAAAAAATGTACCTTGGCTCAAAAAAGGTTGAAAAACACTGCTCTAGAAAAACGTGTCTGGAACCTTGTGAATGGATGAAATTAGGCAGACAAACGGGGTTATTAAAGCTCCTGTAGGTTTAGGCACATGCAACAGAAAGGAACCTTATGATTTTCATTTGTAAGCATGTTATAGACCAGTTAACCCTTTAAAGCCTGATCCAAGAATAAAACAAAACAGAAAATTACTATTTTTTGGTTTGAGGTCTTTATTTGGCCTTTTAACAAAATATGTAAAAATAAAAAACAGAAATACATTTTTTATAATAATTTATTACTATGTGATAAGTCCAGATTATGTTTTGTGTAGTCTTCTGCCCCCTGTTATCAGGTGTATCTGATTGTGTTCAATAGGATTTTGAGCAAAGTTTTTACCATTAAATTATGCAAAAGGTGTCAGAAACTGTACGTATCAAATATGACACATTTGGCATTACAGGGTTAAATAGAGAGACAGGTTTTAAAACGCATTACTTTTATTCAATTCGCTTGAAAATCTCTTTTATAGATTTATATTCTTTCTACGAGAGGATCAAGCTCAGTACGTCTGAGTAATTACTAGTTAAATTACAAGTAAATCAATAATAATAATCAAGTCCAGCCATTAATGTCAGCAGAATTTATCATTAAAAAACCATAACACGCGTAGACTGGTTCTTTCCGTCAGACCGAGTGGTTTTTTGCATTCATCAAAGAAAGGACATTTAGCCACTACACACACACTTTCCCCTGTAGTGTAACGGAGAAAGCGTGTGTTAGCTTTACTATGTTTCTACGGTTTTCTCAGCTATAAAGGAGAGATTCTTCTCCATATCATCAGCAGTCCTCTGGCTGTGTGCTGATGCCCTGGGAGGTCCACAAAGACCTGACCCCAGTAACCTCACGATTCTGCTGAAAACCTGGAAATGTGACACGTTTTATCTGGAGACCAGCTGGAAAAGCTGAGCAGATACCAGTTAGCACACAAAAGCTCAGAAACAGTAAAACTCAGAAACGATCGTGTTCAGCTGGATCCTCACTTATAAATCCTAATGATTCCAACCCAGAAACCAACACAAAACTCTCATTTCCCACATCTGTTTTTCAGCCCTTTTATTGAATGCCTCCTCCTTCTTTTGTTGTCTAATTCCTCACATTTTAAAGAGAGAAAACCCTGTCTGAGGTCCCAGTGGTTCCTCTATGGGGAGTCCACTTTACAAAGGCAGAATAAGGAATAATAAGGAAGTAGAGAGTAAACCCAGGACATCACTTCCTGTTTCCAGTTTTAATTTAGGTACAAGCTCAGGTATAATTATTT